GAAAAAGTAAATGTGCTGAACTGCTACTCCTAATCTGAGTCAATTAGCCTTTATCATAACATCAGATTTGTTTCCAGGTGAAATTTCTTCCTGCAAAGTATCTTTTTTTCTGGTTTAAAAAATACTTCTTCTTCATCCTAAGGAATGTGTATTTTCTCCTCTTCTATATACTTATTGTGGTTTGCATTGTCATTTAATAAATGCATTATGACTAGAGCAGTGTGAAACAAAGCCATTTGATTCACAGGGGTTTCATGAAAATGTTTACTCCGAGTTTAAAGAGTTTATCCCTTGAGTTTGGCTTTGAGTTTCTGCTTCGAGTTTCTGATTCAAATGAACTTAAAAATCCAAAATGAAATTCAGCCAAAGCTCCAGAGCATTACCTGATTTCAGGTCAAAACTACAGAAAAGTGCTGACTTCCCACCTCAAACCAAAAACATTCTAGGTTTGCTCAACAGCATAGATCTAAGATTACTAGGAGGGTCATGAATACCAATGACCATTTGGCAAATCTGGCAAATTGCAGACTTGTAATAAAGCATGAGTTTCCCCTGATTTTGAGTTTCATTAACAGAAGGTTGCCAAAATTCGCTATACACCTGGGTCCACAACATGGAGACCATTCCGTGATCACCTCTAAAAGGTGATACTTTCATTACATAAATTGAAGCTCACCTTTCAAATAAACTTTTTTTCTAAAGAAAAAAGAGTAATTTTAAAAGTATTGCAACACTCGCTGTAAAACTGAAATTAGATCCTTAAAAAAAACCTTTGCTGCCTTTCTAAAGCAATATATGAAGAAAGGGATTAGCCTGAAACTTTGTTTGTGTTGCAAAGGCAAAGGTTCCTGTGCTGTGTGCCTCCAGATGACCTGTCCTGCTATAATCCCATGTGCTTTTATCCTGCTTGTACCTGAAAGACAGACACTGTACTTTAAATCCCCCTTTTGACATAGCAGTCCAGTTGCATCTTTTCCTTTCCTTTTTGCAGAAGTCAGATGAAAATGCTATTAAGAGAAATGTACACAGCTACTGGGATTTTTTCTTTCTTTTTTAATGAATGTGATTTCAGGGAAGTGACTCCCTACCTCTGTTCCTTATTCTCTCTCGTTGGCACTCAAGGAGGAAAAGTAGTTTATTCTTATTTTCAAAGACTCACTGATAGGTGAGAACATGCTTAAATAACTAAGCCTCCCTCCTTGCATTTATCCAGATGAACTGAATATCTTAACCACCCATTCACATACAGAAAAAGAAATGATCTTCAAAGTGATGGTGTTAAACCAGAAAAGAAACCTATGAATATTCAGACTTAATGATGTCAAAAATACATATGCTGAATTATTTTTCCTTTGTTTCACCAAATACTATTTAACTACAAAATTCTATATTTCCTTCCCAGTCTTTCCTGCAGTCTTTATGCACACAAAGGTTCAGTCACATCAAACAGGAATTTGGCCTGTGAACGAACCATAAAAGTGCTTCCTTACACATGGTTATGTTTTTCTTTAATAATCAGTTTTTACCCATCTGATTTCTTTGGATATATTACAATCCAACAGTGGCACAATTCATTCTGAAGATGAGTATCTTCTTATATTTAAATGGTCTCAGAGAATAATTTTAAACCCAATAGCTACATGTTCAAAAAGAAGGAAGGAATTTAAAAGGCATGTCTAATAATGAAGTATTATTATTTTCATAAAATGAAATTATAACTGTTTTTTAATTGAAATCTTTTTCTCTTTTGCTTATTGCTTATATGGCCTGAAATGCACGAGGAGAAATTCTGGCCCCCTTCTAGCCAACAGATAAACTTTTCTTGGCTGACAGGTTTTTTTGTGAAATAACTGTGTGTTGGGATAGCCTCTGAGACTTGATTCACTCAGGAGTATGTTGGGGTGGCTTCTGAGACCTTATCCATTCACTAGCCTCCAAGCCATTATCCACCCAGTTCGATGCCGAACTAGTCACTGAGATTTCTTTATTTGCATACAATCAAACTACACTTGAGTTGATCAGACACAAGTGTACCATCCAAAGTTATACAGCAAAGATCTTCCTTTATATACATTTCCACATTACATTACACATTTTGGGATTGGCTTGGTTACTGTGTAGAAACCAATCCCTGTACAGAATGCTGTATCCACACACTGTCCAAGTATGATTTACTCTTTACTTCATCTTTATGTTCCCAACATATACCTTATCTATTGTTATCTTGCCAATTGGAAATGGTTCCGTGGGTCTTCCCTCTTACCTTAGCTAGTACAGACATTCTGTTTCCAGCCTGCAGTTCCATTACCACCCTAAACCAGCCTCTCAAGAAATGAGGCCTCATCCATGTCTAATTACTCATGTCAAGCCAGGCCTACACTGTACTGGCGCTTGGTAAGACCAAATCCATCACTCACCACATGGGTGTTGTGCACGTTGGCTCCTCACCACTTTTGCAGAAGCCACTTTATTCCCTGGTCTTCAATATGGGTGACAACTCTCTGCACCCCATTCCACAACCTGTACTTGATTGGGAGAATATCACCTTAATGAAAAGCTTTCAGTTCATCCTGTTAAAGTTTCTGGAGTTTATAAGGCATGGGGAGAAGCATCCAGGTAAGATACTTTTTATAAGTCAGTAATAACGCTGTCCAGAGAGTAAAACCTAGTAGAGATTTTCCATAAAGAATATGGCATTTCTACCTCAGGGGTGGGAGGGAATGTTATAAGAATAAGTGCTCATCTCAGGTCAGCACATCAAATATTCTGTTCCCATTGACGTAAGTGGGAGCTCACACATGCAGGGAGAGCAAAATATTGGAGCTGAGATGTTTGATGTGGACATGAGAGGAAAAGACTGCCCTCTCATTGTGCAAACCATGGAAAGGGAATCTGATCTGTAAACATTTGGATCCACAGAAGACAGCAAACCTAAACAGTGGGTTTTCAGAATAGGGATTTTGGTTCAGATCCATCTACACTTGATTTATGTTTTATTTCAAGTCACAGGCATTAAATGACCAGGCTTCTGGAGCAAATTACTACTCAATAACTGATCTCATTATAATATAAATACATTTTTTGTGGTGGGGGGGGGATCTGCTGTAGATACATAGAGTCAGAGTTTAAGGCCAGAGGGGACCACTAGATCACCTAGTTTGCCCTCCTATATATCACAGGCCATCAACACGACCCAGTACCCACACATTGAACTGAAAGCCACAGCTTTAAAGTACAAAATGAAGAAGAGGTGACTAACCCTCTGTATATATCATAAGCTCCGCAAGCTAAGGAGAGACAGCAGGTTTTAAGAAAACCAATTTGTCCAACAAATTAAAGACTTTTAAAATGTAACTGGGTACACTATTTACCACCATCAGAAATGGAAAAATGCAACTAAATGAGGTTGGAAACTATCACAAACATTTGTTTTCAGGAATACCATTGGTGAGTCAAAAGAAGGCCTTTATAGATCCCAAGTATTAACACAAGCCACAGCAAATGAGCAATGGAAATGCTCATCTCTCAAACAGCTTTTTGAATAATTCCAAATCTCTCTATAATTAAACAATAATGCATTTTTAAATACTTTAAAATGGTGTGTGTTATAAATATGTTCATTATGACGTTGAGATTTTGCTCAAAAATAGCATAGTTTAAGCGGAAATGGAAAATCTGTGAACTGTCAGTTTTTCATGAGATTACTTGAATATTGTAAAATCCAACAAAAGGCAAAACCATAGATTGTCATATTTCTCATTAAATATTTTGCATAATTCTAGAATGTGACATTAAAGTGTAAACAAAAAATTGAAACTCTGAATTAAACTGGTAATTGGATTTTTCACCTCTTTGTAAGCATCTTGGTTGTAGCTTTGATAGTGAATCTAAAGTAACTATTCTCTCTTTAATATTAAGAGGGTGTTATTGTAGGCATGTCAATGGAGAAAGACAGTAAATGGACAAGTCTTCTTTATCTTATCTACCACCACCACCCAGATCGATCGGTCTTCAGCTGTCGTTAAGACTGTGCCGATCACAACACATCCGCCATTCTTCTCGCACTCTTGCCTTTCTTCTCCACGTTTGTCCGAAACGTTTAACAAAGTCATCTCATCTACCATATTTTAGAAAACACTTTTCAAAATGAAAAGGCCCTTTTAAATGTATGCTAGAAAGACAAGCACACACACACACACAATGGCTTGCCCTGCACACACGTAAGTCAGATGCTGTAGAAAGTACAAGGACATCCCTTTTCCTCTCTCTCCTCACTCCCAGTATATCAGTAGAGGAAGCTGCTGTCATATGGCTACAATCAATATGGCTTGTAAGCAGTGGGCACTAATAGTGCTGCCTGCAGTACTTACCACAATCGCGGTAATAGTGTGACTTTCAGAATGGCCAAAGAGTCAGTTTGCACATGCGTCTGTTTCAGTATCAGGATTGATCTACACTTAAAATGGTATAGCAGCAGGGCCACTGTCGCACTTCAGTGTAGACACTCACTCTAGTGACAGGAGGAGTTTGCCTGTCCCTGCAGGTAATCCACCTCCCCAAGAGGCAATAGCTAAGTAGATGAAGGAATTCTTCTGTCACCCTAGTGCTGCCTACACTGGGGAATAGGGTGGCTTAGCTACATCTCTCAGAAACGTGGACGTAGCTATGCCAATGTAAGTTTTCAGTGTAGACTAGCCTTTAGTGACCAAATACTGCCACCATTTAAGAGTTCTCAGCAACACTAGGCAAGCATTTAGTACAATGATTGAAGAACTCATGTATCCATTTAACCACCCAGTATGGAATTTTAAGTAGTCAAAATGGAATGTGGGCCAGATGCAAGTGTCAGCATCCCTTCTCTCGCAAAAAAGTTCTACGGGCTCTTTAATAACCACAGATGGCTCTGACTTGGACTTTTACATCTCAACCAAAAGGCATCAGTATTGTGCATGCCTTCTATATTATATTACAGCGTTGAAGCAAATCACAGTGTCACTTACAGTTGTGACAGGTGGCGCCACTGTATCCAGTTCCTTCACAAGTACATTTGAAGCTGTCCCACGTTTGGGAGCATTTGCCACCATGTTCACAGTGATTGGGAACACACCTGGCAGGACAAGAGACAAAGAGAAAAACAAAAACAAATAAACAACAAGATTTATGAATGGCCAAATTTTGAGCTGCTCAAGTAATACATCATATCAATGCCAGTTTGCCCTACACTCATAATTAATCCTTGTTGTTTTAGGTAGATTAACAGAATTCATGACAAACTGTGCCAACCACACAAAAGATGATGTATCACAGCCCTGCTGTGGCCTCTTTTCAAACAAAAGTAGAAAAGGAAGACAATCGTGAGAAACATTCACTTATCATAAATTAAGTTTTTAAAAGCCATGAATGACTAGTACCAGGATCAGAATAACATCACAAGCCTTGGATTTTTCTCTTGTGCAGGTGATGCCATGCCCCATGGATTCAAGTCCCACAAAACACGGAAAGTTAGAAAAGAACAGCAGTGAGATTCACTTAATCTTTGTCTTGCCCACCATGGGATAAGATGGAGGCAGCTTGCCTGCTGGCTTGAGATGGAAGTTACTAACTCTGCATTATTAAAACAAACCAGGTGCTGTGAAGTTCAGAATAAAAGATTTAACAGGCTTTAATTCACTTGTGACAAACGTAATTCACCTTTACCCCACCTGCTCTTCCACTCCAGCTAAATTATTGTCAGAGAGCTGAGGAAATGAAAAAGAAAAGGTGGAATGGAAATGAATGAAAAATAGGGGAAATTATATTAGAACATACATTTATTATTTGAAACAGCCACAAAATGTAATTTCAAAGATTTGAGTTTGACCAGTTTCTTTTCTATCAAAGATTCATTTAAATAGGAATTATCATAATACTTTCGCTTTTTGAAACTATTACTTTTCTCTTCTTGGAGTATGCTTTGAAATCTCATTTCAAAGAACCATTTTTTCCCTTTATTAAATTTCTTTTCAGCCAGTCTCAGGACAGACTCTGTGCTTTCTGATCAAGGGTTAAAGGAATTTTCCTTTCATGTTGAATTTGTCCAAATAATATTTATGAACTATACTTCTACATTTTTACATTAAGGGAAGATTAATAGACCTCCAACCAACCAACAAATGGAAATATTTTCTGGAAACATAGTACAAATTAAACTATAGTTATCACCAGGATAATTTTGAAATTCACAGCATCCCTGTAATAGCTAACACTAGACTCTTTGTTAATACCCATAGTACACCTTAATGCATAATAGTCTATCTGACAAATCATTTTGGAATTATTAATTTTGGAATTTTCCTTCTCTCCCACACTATATGTGCATGCATCACTTCCATTTTACAGGAATGTATCAAAGAGAAAAATATTTTTGACAGAAACATATTGGACACTTGGCCATAGTGCAGTTCACCTCCTTCTTCAAAACTGTTATTGTTTATACACACAGAGTAAAAGCTTTTTAAGAAAATGTACTATACGATCTGCCTACATTCTTTATTATACTACAGGTGTGTCACTGAAATCTGTTAGAGAATTTCAAGAGACTAATAAGAAACATGCTTAAAGAAATCATTTTCTGAATGAAAAACAAACATTTTTCCATTTTAATATTAGGGTACAATATCCTGTAGGGATCTGTGATATAGAACAGCAAATTTCCAATTATTTGGAAAATTTCCATTTTCTATGAATGGCTGGTGTTTTGGTGACACTTTAAAGTAGTTCAATTGACATAAGACTGACTCACACTTCTGTACAGCTAGACAAAGCCTGAATTCTGAATGTAATTTTCTGTGTTTTTAAACCTTGTCAGCTATATTCAGCTTTTATTTTCATAACCACTTTGTGGTTTCATAAACACTGAAACCCTAAATTCATATCTTGCAATATATTTGGTAAATTACTTTCTTCTCCAAAATCATTTCATGTGTCACTTTGGATGTATTTCCTTCCTTATTTCTATTTGAAAATAGATTTGCTTTAAAACATAATTTCCCACTGACAAAAAAAAAAACATTTCTACATTAAGTTGGACAGATATTTACATGAAATCTCAATAATAATGCCAATATCCAATTTTGCATTTTACTACTATATAACTTACTTTTATACCAGTATAAGTAGCAAAGCTAACGTTGTATTGGTAGCTTAACATATACTATCTTAATTCACGTAAATATGAAAATCAATATAGATATTTATTGACACCATCTACCTGAGCACACTTTTTTATTTAATTCATTTATTTATCTAATTGGTTAAAAGTTTTAAGTCAGATCTATCCAACAAACCACAACCCCTATTGTTAGTTTTGTGTGTCTTGTAAGAAAGCTAGCTTAACCCAACTTCCTCTGGAACATTTTTTTTAAAATCAACCTTTTTACTTTACTAAATACTAATTTGACATAGTTCAGGGTGAAAACTATTTCAAACTATAGGGAATTTTAAGTCAGCAGAATGTAATAACTTCAATATCATTTGGTGAGGACACCAAGATAAATAAATACTGTGAGGCAAATCCACAGCCAGACCAGGACTGTGCCCACTGGCTCCCTTCGAGGAGCAGTGGGAACTGTCTGGGGTTCTCTGCTCAGTGTCCCCCACTGGAACCCTGCTTTTGACCCTGTGACCCTCACGTCTGTCCCTGTTTTTTCATTAGTTGTCCTCCATATTTATTTGAGACCTGGGTCCAGTAGCTCTCCCCTTAGGCTGCAGAGAGGGACCTTTAGATGTGAGGAGGTGAGATTCTCAATAGGTGCCATCACTCGCTGCTCCAACAGAGCCTGCCGTGACTCTTCACTCAGGCATGCAGCAGCAACTCAGCTGCCCTGACTCAGCCTGTAAGCGGAGTCTGCAGTGACGTCACCCTCAGGTATGCTGTGGCAGCCTATCCCAGGGCAGGGCCCAGGTCAGATGACTCCCAGGCACAGGTATTTCATTACCCTCCAGCCAACATCAGCCTTGTCTGTGCCCTCCTGCAACCTTTCTCCAGCCCTGCATCCCCCTCCTGGCTACACCTCAGCTTCGACCTTTGGTCTGCAGCCAGACTCCAGCTACGATCTTGATTTTTGGCTGGTCTGTTGACTCTAACCTTAGTTCTGTCCCATGGCCTGTCCCCAGATCCCAGTTTCAGTGCTGCCCTCACCTTTGTCCTGACTTTACGGCCAGTCCAACCCCCAGGCCTGACTGCTTAGAGCCCAGAGCCAGACACTTATTCTGTTGGAAAAAGTACTATACGGTATATAGGGTAAAATTTTCATAAGTATTTGATCATACATATATCTGTGCATGGAAATCACCTTGTGTAATTTTGCACACACAATAGAGTATATATATGCAAGCCCATTTATGCTCTATTTGCACTTGAATTGCATGCACAAATGGATTTTGGATGTCTCTGTTCAATTATCTGGTTGTATACAAACTTGCCAGATTTTAAAATTGGCTTTCTTCTGTTGGCCAGAGGAGCATCCTCACACAACTCCATGATTCAATTTCTTTTTGTGATACAGATTTCTATCACCCTGGACCTTACAGTTCCTTCATATCTCCTATATCTGCTAATCTGCTACAAGCACCTCCACAACACTCCCCATGTACACCACTACCTGGGTTCCACTGTGCTAAAATCTGCATCCATATCTTCTTCTACTCTTGTCTTGATTATTGCAACTCCATGCTCTTTGGCCTCTCACTTCCCAGCTCTCCTGATTCCAGGTCAAAGAAATATGACCATATCCTCTCCATTTTTAAATAAAATCATTGACTCTCCATTCCTTTCAGGACAAAGTTAATATTACCTCCTTACTGAAACCATCCTGGACGTTTCTGTAAACTACCACATGGACATTTATATCTTTTTTTTCTACTTTGCCTACCCTTGTTTAGCACTGGGCCACTTCTTCACACACACTTGTCAATTTTGTGTAAGTAAAGTTCTTGCTATTTGTGACACTTAACTAGTTTCTCCATGTATTTTCACACCCCACATGAAAGCAAATACTTTTTGCCTTTCCTTATATGGTATGTTTAATTTCTCTGAATACTATATTTTTATTTGAACTATGTGATTTTGTTATTTAAGATCAAGGTTGATGATGTAATCACTTTTATTGTACCAACTTCTGTTGGTGAAAGAGAACATAAGAACAGCCATACTGGGTCAAACCAAGGGTACATCTAGCCCAGTATCCTGTGTTCCAACAGTGGCTCATGCCAAGTACTTCAGAGGGAATGAACAGAACAGGTAATCATCAAGTGATCCATCTCATCGCCCATTCCCAGCTTCTGGTGAACAGCGGCTAGGGACACCATCCCTGCTCATCTTGGCTAATAGCCATTCATGGACCTATCCTCCATGAATTTATCTAGTTCTTTTTTTAACCCTGTGATAGTTTTGGCCTTCACAACATCCTCTGGCAAAGAGTTCCATAGGTTGACTGTGCATTGTGTGACAAAATACTTCCGTTTGTTTGTTTTAAACCTGCTGCCTATTAATTTCATTTGGTGACTCCTATTCCTTGTGTTATGAGAAGGAGTAAACAACATTTATTTATTTACTTTGTCCACACCAGTAATGATTTTGTAGACCTCTATCATATCCCTCCTTAATTGTCTCTTTTCTAAGCTGAAAAGTCCCAGTCTTATTAATCTCTCCTCATACGGAAACTGTTCCATACCCCTAATCATTTTTGTTGTCCTTTTCTGTACCTTTTCCAATTCCAAAATATCTTTTTTGAGCTGGGGCAACCACATCAGCATGCAGTATTCAAGATGTGGGCGTACCATGGATTTATATAGAGGTAATATGATATTTTGTGCCTCATTATCTATCCCTTTCCTTATGATTCCCAACATTATCTGTTTTGACTACCGCTGCACATTGACTGGACGTTTTCAGAGAATTATCCACAATTACTCCAAGATCTTTTTCTTGAGTGGCAACAGCTAATCTAGACCACATCATTTTATATGTATAGTTGGGATTAAGTTTGTTTTCCAATGTGCTTTACTTTGCATTTATCAACATTGATCATCATCTGCCGTTTTGGTGAGTGTACCATTTTGTTGCCC